GGTGAATAGTACAGCTGAAGGAAGACAGAATCAAGTGAGACGTGCAGTAGCCCTATGTCCCACTAGGAACCCAAGGGAACAATAAATAACATATAAATAATTTTACTACGATAGAGTATAATTCCATATTAGATAAGTTTATTGAAATAAAACTTAGTGATAGACTGTTGATAAATGAATGGCGTTTTGAGCACAATTTATTGCCAACAATCACATGGCTTCACAGTTAGCTATATACATATATATTCTCTCCCCTTTGTTGTTTATTATAATTTTCTATATAACCGGTGTAAGCTTTGAATGATGTCGACTGTACTTATCTGGTGTTGATTCGATAATCAAAGATTTAGTGATTAACCTCTCTCTCTCCCGGTCTCCACCTAACTATATTACGTCTTGATACTCACACCCTGTCCTATCCAACCTAATTTGTGATTACATGCAAGTGAATGCAGTGTAATGGCTGAGTTTTTTCCTACGTTATTTAACTTGGCTGAGTCGATCATTCTATATCTACCTAAATTTTTGTGTTCTAATAATCTACTTAGCCTCAATCTACTGATTGGACTCACCAATGTAATTGGCCTCGCAGTCAATTCAAGAAATTTGATAAATTATATTATTTTTCTTTATTGGATCTATTGGATTCTTTAGCTTACAAAGTCTATTCCTGAGATAGTTGTTTGGTTAATTTAAATGCCGCCTAAATCCAGCTTTACTGTGGACCCTAGTTTAGGCCTCTAACGTTTCTTATTTATGCGGAATTACTACAGAAGCTTTAGATTCTATATTATTTTCGTTATTCTCGTCATTTTTATTACTAATCTTAGTTTTTCTATAGTTTTTCATATATATATCAGAAGGCTGCGTGTTCGTATCACGTCGGGCTCACCACTTGTAAGTGTTGAAGCTAGACTTAAGATAGTCTTCAATATCACCACACTTACTAAAAACGTCACCGTCTTATGACCTTTCCAGTACTCTACCTAACGTGTAAGTACTGATTAACTCAATCAAAGTTTAAAAGCTAACAATGGAAAGAATTCTTGGTATGAGTTGTATTTAACGTAAATGAATAACAGATTTAATAAATAAAGTGACTGTACAACTTATCTGCAGACGTTGCTGGAGGTAGGCTCGGAGAGTGTGCGAAAAGAGAGCACAACAAGAGAGCGAACCAATGAACGTACAGAAGACTCACAACTCAAAAGGTAAAACGTGGATCACCGTGGGTGAGTCAGTTTAAAAAAAGTTCAAAGGTACAATGTGCACTACATATTTCTGAATAACTTCTGGTTGGTAGTTGGATGTTCACTAATAATATTTCCTTTATTTGTTTAATTTCACTACTTAAATCTCCCGG